AGCTCATGAACAAGGATTACATTAAAAAAACACATTTTCTTGTATCACCAGAGTGTACAGAAAGAAACAGCTTGTTACTATGCCTACTCACCAAACACTAGACTATTCTCATATCATTCCTAGTAACAGTGATAGAGCAAGAGAAACTGAGATAAAGGAGGGAGGCATGATTTGCCAAATAAGATTTTTCAAGTACTGTACACTGGGGAAAAGGGAGAATGGTTGTTTGGAGGCTTGGGTATGTCAGAGACTGGATGGATCCGATTTAAATCAAGTTGAAAAAAATTTAAATTTAAAAAATATATTAAAATGGATTCAAATTTTTAAAATCTAATTTAAATTAAAATGTGATTTGGCTTGATTTTTTACAGATTAAATGTTTACTGACTAGTGATTTAAATCAACTTGATATAAAGCAAACCCACCTTGCAGGAAAATTTGTATAAATGTCTCAGGGTCTGACACATAAGATTGCAAACAAGTTGTTGGGAACTGGCACATCCAATAAAAACCAAAAGATACAAAGAGAAACAGTCTCAGGATGTCTGGAATAGGTAACGATATGTGGTATCTGTATTGCATGGTGAAAAGCTTAACGCGATTTGGCAGGGCCTTCATCAGAAGCTTGAGTTGAAATTAAATGATATATATCTCAACTAAAGAAGCAGAATCATCTATCAAATGTGGACCCAACCCATCAGATTTTTTTTAATAAGCAGTCTTTAACTGTATGCATTTGTTATGAGAGAGTTTATGATTCTTTCAAAAGGGATGAACCCAGCAATGCTACTCCACACTTTTGTGAATTTTTCCAAATAATGACATGATCTCTGTAATAAGTACATTGCTGTCATACTGAAGAAGGATTTTTAAAAAGCTGTGTAAAGAGTTTCATATCCATCGTATGCATCTTCAGCCTTTTCAGACATTTGTTGCTGTTGCTTGCCCTTTGGTTTTTTTTTTCCAAATTAGCTTTTTTTTAAAAAAGCTCCAAGTTCTGGTTGCAGATTTGATAAATGTTGGATAGATATTGTGTGAGCAAGAAACAATAGTATGTTCTGTCCATTAAAAGATTAGCCTTCTGTGATGTGCCTTGAATGGAAGATAATTCCATAAAGATGGCCCTGATCTTTTGAAATAAACCTTTGTTGATCTGACAGGATAAAGATGATTTTTGATCTCTTAAAGTGGGCAAAATCCTATTGACATAACATTGCATAGGTGTAACCTGGATCAGACATTGGAAACTTTTAATTTATACAAATTAAAGCTTCTTATCCCTTCATTTTAAGTTTTGAGGCTCTCTGCATTTGGAAGCCTCAGGGTGGAGAGACCTTTAATAGTACTGTACAAAAATTGCCACTGGCAATTTTTCTGAATCTTGGTGGTGGCAATTTTGTTACTTTCAAAGTCCTGTCCCACATCCTGAGCCTTCCAAAGGCTTACGCAGAGCAAAAGGGAACCTAGTTAGCTGCGTCAGAACCTGAAACAGGGGTGGAAGTAGGAAGTATTTAAGTTGTTTAAGTGTTTCTGGTGCCTGGTCAGGTTTATGCGATAGCAATTATGCAACAGGATCTTGCCCACTGAATCAATTCAGACGCCATATACCCAGTCTTCGGAAACCTGATATGAAAAGATTAAGAAACATCCTGTGGGCTCACATTTTTCTTAACTATACTTTGCTATGACATCTGAAATGAGCTATCTACATATAGCTAACACTAAGCAAGAATGTGCAGATATGGTTAACTGCTCATGGAAGTCACAAAAAGGAAAGTATATGAGAGGAACATAAGAAGAAGTACATGGTAAGAATCTTCTGCCATTTTTGACATACTACGAGCGGGTGCTTATAAGTATTGAGCCTTTCCCGGAAAAAAATTGAGCTAGGAAGCTGTAACTGCTACACTATTCTACACATTCCCCCAGGAAGTCAATGCACTTGCAACATCTGTCCTGCAGCTTCTTAGGTCCCTGCAAATAAAATTTTTCCGGCTGCTGGTGTAACCACTCATTTGCAGCATTAGTTGTCTCTAGAACACTCCCAAATTGTTGTCCCTTTAGGTGTTTTTTGAGTTTGGGGAACAGATAATAGTGAGAAGGAGCCAGGTCGGGAGAATAGGGTGGATGGGGCATCACTTGATAGCCTAAGGACATTAGTTTTGCCATTGTTTTATCTGCAGTGTGTGATGAGGCATTGTCATGCAACAGGATGACACATTTGGAGAGCTTTCCTCGACGTTTTTCCTTGATGTTTTGCCTCAACTTCATCAATAAAGCACAGTAATATTTTGCATTGATGGTTGAACCCTGTTGGAGGTAGTTCACCAGCAGAACTCCCTTCTTATCCCAGAAAACTGTTGCCATTTGCTTCTGCACCGACTCTTGCACTCGGAACTTCTTTGGTCTGGGGGAACCACTGTGCCTCCATTCCTTAGATTGTTCCTTTGTCTCAGGATCATAACAGTAGATCCATGTCTTATCACCAGTTGCCAGTTTGCCCAGGAAATCTGACTCATTTCTTGCAAAATGTGCCAAAACAGCCACTGATGACTCCACACATTTCCTCTTTTGATCCTCAAAAGTTTGGAGATCCACTTTGCTTCCAACTTTCTCATTTCCAAGTCGTTGTGGATAATGACACCCACTGTCTCACATGATATTCTCAGATATATAGCAATACTTTTGGCTGATATTCGGCGGTCCTCCATGATCATGTCATGGATGCTTTCACATTTGCAGGCACAGAGAGAAACAGGCCTTCCACTGGGTTTCTCACTTTCAGCACTGAAATGGTCAGTTTAAAAATTGACAACCCAACATTTAACTGTTGCATATGAAGGGCCACTGTTACCCATAGTTTGTGACGTTTCATCATGGATCTGCTTTGCACCTTTCTCTTGGAGAAACAGGAACTTGATTATGGTCCTATGCTCTTCCACATTGAACATTTCTGGAGGTGCCGCCATGTTCACTTTGGACCGGAAAATGAAAGTTAAGTTAAAATCATAGGCAGTTGATTTTTGCACTGTTGAATATAGATAAATTTGCCAATACACCCTGCAATTTATAGCTTCCTAGCTCAATTTCTTCTGTGTAATGCTTGATACTTATCAGCACCCACTCGTACATGATTCACTTCTGACATCATCTTCTGGATCCTCCTCCAGATATATCTGGAACTGCCTAGAGAGACCTGCTCAATCACCTTGCCAATAAAGGTTATGTTCGTGATCAATGGGAAGTGATTAAGACTGTTGCCAACTGTGAATACTTAATAATCAGATCAGATGTTCTCAATTTTAGATTTTAAAATCACCCGGAAAAAGAACTTTAAAACATGAGGTTTTTGAGTCCTTTAGAACTCTTTATCAGGCTGGATTTTACAGACCACGTGGAAACGAAGCAGACTGATCCTGACCAGAATTTCTAACTTTGAGAGCAGTAGATGTGTACTATCCATTTATTCAGTTTTCTTGAAGAACTACAAAATGGAAAATTGATTTATCATCACATAAGGAAATCTGTGTAAAATGGAAAATTTCAATTCCTTCATCGTTTTAACTGTAGTCCCTATATTACTAATACAGAATGAAGAAACTAGCTAAAAATAAATACATGATAAATATTGTGCCTATATTGATCTGGAGATATTAAGCTAATCAACAGTTCAAATTTGTAGAATAACTTCTCTTTTAGAATTGATTCACTAGATTTTCTGCTGACCTTTTCCAGTGCTGTTTTTAGCCTCCGAACAATCTGAGAAAGGGATAAAGAAAGGAATAGACCCATATAGCTCTGATTCACTTATTTTCCACCAGATGTCTGTAGGCAGTTCTGAAGATTTTGGAGGCTGAATTTACTGAGGGAACCAAATAAATAAGGCTGATAAAAAGTTGTCCCACTTTGTTTAGAGTCAATTTTTGATGAATTTTTACTTTAATAAAACAAAATGAACAGACTCAAATTCAAAATAGTTTTGATGTCTCCAATAGAGTTCTCTTTGTTTACTTCATTTAACGTGTTCCATTGATTGTTACTGAGTGTCTCAGCATGACTGTGATAAGAACTCTCAGTGCTTTATTTTCCATTTTATAAGTCAGAAGATACTTTTTAGAAAATCATAAATGTATATGGTAAGTTGTATTCGCGAAAGCTTTCACGGCCAGGATCTAATGGTTGTTGTGGATAATGTATTTACGTTTAATTTGTTTGACAGCAGGAGCAAAAGCGAAGGGAGTATATGAGGTAAAAGCATGCCGGCCACAGAGACTGGCGAAATGTTGGGAAGAACAACCTTCAGAACACGGCCAAAGAGCCCAAAAAACCCATAACAACCATTATATGGTAAGTTCTCAGTTCAAAATCCAGCTTCTTCTGTGACTTCATATGTAAGGGTAAATCTGCAATGCTTAATTGTTCTAATTGTGTTGGATTCAAAATCTTCCTTAGTTTCATGCTTGGGATTCACTGCTTTCATTCTTACCATATGTCATTCTACTCAGTGACCTGACACTATGTCATTTATTGAAGCTTTCCTGGAACAGCTTGTTCCAAACTTTGTCCTGTGCTGTGGAATTGATACCATTCCTAAATTGAATACCGAAAAGATCATTTTACGGTTCCATCAAACTACAGTTCATGGAGAATGGGGAAGGGAAAGTAAAATCTTATGAAGACATCAAAGGGAGTTGAAGTCCTGGATAGCTCAGTGGCTTAGGTCCCCAGCTGCAGAGCCAGAGGTAGGGAGCTCAATTCCCCACTGTTCCTCCTTGAGAGGGCCTGGACTTGATCCATAGAGTTCCTTCCAGCTCTGCAATTCAAAGGCTGTTGTTGTATTTGATTATTATAAGATTCAGTATGGGAGTGAAGTCCCCTGGTATCATGTAAAGGTGTTAAAAGTGAAAATGATGGTAGTTTACTAATTTTAACATCCTTTTCTCTTTCTTTGTCTCTCTTCCCTCCCCTCTTCCTTCCCCACTTCCCTTCTTTCCTCTAAGGCCTGTATAGATGAGAATCTGGACATGGTAAAGTTTCTGGTAGAATATGGAGCCAATGTAAATCAGCAAGATAACGAGGGCTGGACCCCACTTCATGCGGTGGCATCTTGTGGCTATCTGAACATAGCAGAGTGAGTGAGTTTCTGTGTGACCTGAATATTGGAAATAACACATCTATTTATTTTTGTTTCTTAGACCTATATCCCCCTCTTCCCCCAAAATAGGATTCAAGATAGCTTATATGATTTACCTCCATTTGAAAGTATTATTTAGTAATTACTAATTTGAAATAATTTATCACATTATGTGCCCAATAAACTGTAGCCACAGCAAGTGGAAAAACATGTGTTTCCCTTTCTTTGGGTTAACCTTATGAATTACCAAATGTAGAGAACCAAACTGAGTAGGGTACATCTCAGTCAGCCTTCCTTTTCTGAAAAAGGGGAAAGGACTTCAGTATTTCATCCAAGCCTGTAGAAGCCTGAACGTGGTGCCATAGCAGTCCAAATGGCAGTGCCCGGTGTATGTGTGTGTTTGTGCATGTGCGTGTTGTACTTCCATCTATTTTGTCCAGAACCCCTTTTCATTCTGGAATAGGCTTTGATAGCAAGATAAACGTTCTGTTACTGTGCTGCTCTTCCTGCTGCTCAACAGTTTCCCTAGCAGAAGTGGTTGAAGTGGGCCTTGGGTGTTGTTAATTAACACAAAGACAAATATTCAATCAAAGGCAGGGTTTAGTGGGTTGGATTCGGATTTCATGACCTCTGTGACCAAGATGATTAAACTTGCTAAAGCAAACAGTTATGCCTGTTAGGTGATAATGAGGTCAGTGAAGTAAGTTTATTTTGCTGCTTCTATCATATCCTCAAATAGACTTCTGTCAGACCTTTTTCATATAGCTTATAACTAGGAGGAGGATTTCATTGACATGTCATGTTTTCTTCTGCAACCTATGAGTGGCTTTGAACATTTTTATGAGCAATCTGGTGAGAAAGGTCAGATTACTCATAGACATGTTTGAACTTGTTTCTGGGTTCAAATTCAAGTTGCAGAGAAATTGTGACATGTGATAGAAATCTTCCCCCAACTTCATAAATAGTTATTAGGGTCCCTCAAATCCCTCCTTGATAAGGTAACAAGCATTTGGAGGATAAAGTCACTTACCTTCATGATGAACTGAATGATGTTGTTGCAGTATATAAAACATCTGATACATTGTCTGTTCTGTTTTGCCAGATCAGGTAAAGCTGCTTGGCCAGTAGTAGACAACAGGCTGCTTCTAGCTGTGTCACTTACTGTGTGAATGCTTGATCCTTATCTATCATGGCTTATTCAAAGCTAGTTAGCAGATTGGGTGGGCTGCATGCTTCTAAGGAATGATAACAATGTCATTGCATGAGGGAGTAATTTCTGCTGTCTTGAAGGAAGCAATGGTACATTTACTTCTAAAAAATACCACTTTGGACTTGGACATTTTAGATGATTTCTAACCAGTTTTGAACCCCATTGTTCGAAGGCAAGTTGCTCAAGAGGGTGGTCATGTTTCAGTTGCATATTCTGCTGTGAAAATGAACAATCAACATTTATATCATTCTGGCTTAAAATCTTTAAAGGTTGTATCGACTTTGGTTACCTTGATAAATTAACTTGATACAGACAAAAATCGTAGTTGTGTGACCCTGTTAATCTTAATCTCTGGACAATCTTGTATTATTGACCATTATAGCCTTGTGAAACACTTCTGTGTGGGTTAAAGGCATCATGTTTTCATTGTTCTGTTCCAATTTAGGGGTTCAGCTTCAGAGAATAGCAATCGATGATTATGATGTGACCCTGGACTCTCATGCTTTGGGGCCAAAATGATTATTTTTCCCAGTCTTATTTAATATCTGTATAAACAGATAGGAGTAATTATTAAAAATTTGGAATTACAAAGTATCACCAGTATGCTGATGATGCCCAGGTCTCTTTTTCTGTTAAATTTGAATTAGATATGGTCAGATACATTCCAAATTAGTGTCTAGACACAGTGGTGAGGTGGATAAAGCCATTAAGTAGAAGATGGACGTTCTCTGTGCAGATAGTTCTCAGGTCCAGGAACTGGTAAGTTGCGTGTTCCTGATGAGATTGTATTCTCCTTGAAGAAGCAGGTTTTTTGCTTGAAAGTGTTTTTCATCCTTTGTGTGTGTGTGTGTGTGTGTGTGTGTGTGTGTGTGTGTGTTTGTGTTTGTTTGTGTGTGTGTGTTTGTTAGTGTTACTAGAGACACAGTGGCGAAGAGCAGCTTTTAAATTGCACTAACCAGTTTGTCAGTTATTGTTCGTGTGTGTGTGTGTGTGTTAGTGTTACTAGAGACACAGTGGCTAAGAGCAGCTTTTAAATTGCACTAGCCAGTTTGTCAGTTATTGTTTCTTGATGGAGGGAGTATGGCCACAGCAACTCAGCACAAGTAACTCTAGTGTTGATTGTTGCAATGTGAGGCTGCTACTAGGGTCAGTTTCCAATCAACTGCCAGTGCAGCTGATTGGCTGCTTAATAAAGTATTGTGTTCTGACATAGTTACACCAATGCTGGAAGAATTTCATTAGTGGCATATTTGCTACAAAGCCAGGTTTAAGGTTCTGTGTTTCACGTATAAGGCCCTGAACAAACTAAGTGGACTAAGAGAGTGGACTAAGAGAGTGCATCCTTCTGGATAGACCAGCCCCTTCACTGAGGGCATTGGAGGATGTTTAGCAAATATCTCTTAGGACAATTTAAAGGAGGACTTTCTCCATAATGTCCGTCAGAAGGAGCTCTTGTTCGAGATACAGTAGGCATCTACAGCATAGCCATTCTACTAAACATGGTAAAAATGTGCTTACTCATGCAGGCATTCTTGAGCAGCATCTTTAATACTAGATTTAATGAACCTTGGATTCCTTATTGAGTACTTCATTGTTGTGTTGAGCATGCCTTGTTATCATTTATGATAAAATGGAGTCTATAAATACTTCTGATAATGAATAAATATGAAAAGAAATATTAGCAACTATAGAACAATAACTGAGGCTTTCTGTTGTAAAATACAAGATGTATGAACTTGCTATAATGTTTATAAAGTAAAGAAACATTTTAACATTGTAATCAGTGTATCTTGGAGTTTGACATATAACATTATAGACATGAAATTTTGACTCCAGGGTGATAGAATGAACTTCACATGGTTTACATGATTCAACTTCGCTTTGACATTTGGCACTGCTATGGCACTTAATAATTCAGAGGCAAGTCCTTACTGCCACCCTATCAAAACTAAATGTTATCTTTTGGTGTAATTAGATCATAAGTTGTCATAGTGACCTGAGAATTGTTTTAAGACTGGGTAATGTCAGTGGGGAGGCTTCCTGATGCAAGACTGTTTTCATAAACCCTTAAAATTTAATATATTAGTAACCGTCACATTGCTGTTGCAATATCAGTTTTTGGAGCATATTCATAGAGATGAATGGCATGGAACATGGAGCAATAATTTTCCTAACTGAAGCTGTGGAAATTTTCCATTGGTCATTGGGAATTATATCTAATTATTTGGCAGTGTGGCAGTGCAGTGATATGAAAACTGTACTTCTAAGAATATGATTAGATATCTGACACACACACACACACACACACACACACACACATAAAACAGTGAAATACATTAAGCCAAGGTGTGAGCATTGTGGTATTCTGGTTGAGCTATGTATCTGGAGATAGGGCTAACTAGAACTTCATAAAAACTTGTTTGCAGTCAAACATTTCTGAAAGAACTCAAAGTTTTTGTGTGCTAGTTTGCTCCCTTTCCGTTATAATTTTCTTTCCTATTACTTTGTGTTTGCATTTTTTTGCATTTTTCTTTCCTATTCAAAGCTGCATCTGAGTGTAACATGCTTTCCCCTATTAGATCATTTAAGTCTGGCTATTTCTCATACATTTGCAACATCACAGGTAGCAAATGTATGAGAGTTAGATCAACTTAAAGGAAATTCAGCCGCTGAAAAATCTACTTTATGAATGTGTCTCCACAATTCCAAACATCTTCTGTCTCCACAAGTCAAAACACCGGAAAAAAGGTCTAATCATTGCATTGCAGTATTGTGCCCATGTTGCCAGCAGGAAGAAGGATGCCAAGCTTTACATGGCAAAGTTCAGCCAGACTGTTGGTGACACCAATATTAGCAATCAAAACGGTCTACAGAATTCTCTCTTGTGCTCATTACGATTCATAAACAGGCACAAGTCAAACATGACTCTTTTTTAAAGCTTTCTTGCCCAAACACAAAACAATTACCCTGATTCCCTGAAAATAAGCCCTACCCAAAATATAAGACCCAGTGAAGTGAAACCCCACCCTTCACCATTCTGCAGCAACCAGAAGAAGATGACATAACTGTATTTGAATGAATGTAGATTGTTATACATGAAGAAAATAAAACATCCCCCCAAAATAAGCCCTAATGCATTTTTGAGCAAAAATTAATATAAGAAACTGTCTTATTTTCGGGGAAACACGGTATCATGGCTGTTCCAACAAGTTCTTTAGGTGTTTATTGCTTGGAATAAAAACAAAACAAAAACAAACAAATAAAACACCAAAAAAGAGTTGGATTGATATCCCCTTATGCAGGGGTCCCCAACCCCTGGCCCGCGGCCCAGTGCTGGTCCGTGGGCTTTGCAGGACAGGGCCATGGAGACAGATCTCCCGCCCACCCGCATGGTGGGCGTGGGGTGCTTGTGCGCATCTGCGGGTGAGCGGCACATTCGTGGATATGTGTGGTGCATTCATGAGTGGGCCTGGTGCGCATGCATGTGTGCGCACCCCACTCACCCGCGAATGTGCCATGACCATCTGAATGTCAGGTATTTTCACTTCATGTAACACCGTGCAAGGCACTCCTAGGCATCAGTATTTGGAATAAAATTATGGTCAGGTTCTTTGTTATGGTTGTACTGTTATTATGTGACATCAGTTGTTTATATACATGATGATCCTAATTGGATAGATTTTCATTTTTGTGTTATGTTCAAGGACTACCCTCTTTCCCCTAAAATAAGACCTAACCCGAAAATAAGCCCTAGTATGATTTTTCAGGATGCTCGTAATATAAGTCCTACTCAAAAAATAAGCCCTAGTTAAGTGAAACCCCACCCTCCACCATTGTGCAGCAACCAGAAGAAGATGACATGACTGCATTTGAATAAACATAGATGATGGTACATGACAAAAATAAAACATCCCCTGAAAATAAGCCCTACTGCATTTTTGGAGCAATAATTAATATAAGATCCTGTCTTATTTTCGGGGAAACTGGTAGTTTACCCTTGTCATCCCACAGTGATTTCCATACTGAAGTGGGGATTTGCAACCGGATCACCTGAGTTTCACACTGGCTCTCTTTTATGTGATATTCAGATCAAATGTTGTTTTAGATATGTCAGGTGGACCACAATTTATCTAAATTTAAGGAGCCTCATGGCGCAATGGTTAAACTACTGTACTGCAGTCAAAACTATGCTCACGACCTGTGGTTCAATCCCAAGTAGCCAGCTGAAGGTTAACTCAGCCTTCTATCCTTTTAAGTTGGCAAAATGAGTACCCAGCTTGCAATGTGTAGCCTTCATAATTGTAAACCGCCCAAATAGTGCTTTAGACACTATTGGGCGGTATATAAGCACCACACACACACAAAAAGATTTACAGGGATGTTGAAAAGAAAAATATGGATACTTGTTGCATTGCCATATGGTTTTAAATTATTGTCAGGTATGTACAGTATAGGTCTTTCTTTGCTAATGGATGCCTACTGCTGCTTTATTTGAACCTGTAGAGGAAAGTCATATCACCTAAATCAGTGGTCCCCAATCTTTTCCCAGCCATGGATTGGTTGGGGGGGATGTGGCACGCTGGCCCAGAGGGGTGGCACACTTGCGTGTGCCTGCAGGGGGGTGGAGCACACTCTCACACATGTGTGCGGCTGCTCACGCACATGCGGATGTCATGCTTAAGGGGGGGTGGAGCATGCTCATGCACATGTGCGCGTTGGCACTCGGGGGGCACGTATGCATGTTCGCTCTTGGGGGGGTGCTCGCCGGAAGGCAGGAGATCTGGGTCGGTCCTGCCTAGGCTGCGGACTGCTGCTTGGTCGCAGACTGGGGGTTGGGGACCCCTGACCTAAATTACAGTATCTGACTGTCTCAGATTTTTACATTGCAGAATCTATGTCTGTTTTAATGTTTATGTTGCATCCCCTAGCTTCCTGAATTACCATTTGCTGTTTCATGGCTGTTGCTGAATTACCATTTGCTGTTTCATGGAGCAACAAATGATGTTAAATTACCCTCTTCTCCCCAATACAGAAATCTATACATCGTCACCTTGTGTTTGCATTTTGCAAACAGGTTTAAAAAAGAGAGCAGGAGCAGTAGGTTCTCAGTAGCAACTAGCAAAGTCAAGTTTTGTAGCTACCAGTGGTCAGCTGAGAAAAGAAGGGTTCTTTATGCAGATGGAGAGGAGGGAGTAAGATTGTTCTCTTCTCTGAAATCTGTAGTCAGAGTGATTTCACCCCATGCACATCTGCAATCAGATCAAGGGTCAGTTTACACATACGTATGGATGATCAGCTGGATGAAGCAGCTACTGTGATTTAGTGACTATGATCAGATGTTTGATCAGAGCACTTGAAGATAGGTCAGACATCTATATTTGAACTGGGGATTTCTTCTAGGTAGCCAGTAACTATATAAATACAGTATTGTTGAAGAACAGTCGTGAAATGGCTTGTGTTTACATGAGATGTGGTTAACTGATGAAGAAAGGAGTCAGGTTCTAGGATTTTCTTTTACTTGGTATCTGTGAATGGCAGTGAGCACAAGAATTGATTCTGTAGATCATCTTGATTGCTGGTATTGATGTTGTCAACATGCAGGCTGGCCTTTGCTATATAAAGCTTGGTGTTATTTTTCTTGCTAGCAGTGAGGGCACAATATTTCCCGGCATTTTGAACTGTGGAGACAAAAGCAATAGCCCACATTTATAAATTGGAGTTGTGTTTTTTTAATTAATTTTTTTAGATATTTAAAGCAGATGTTTAATACAGTGAAATTTACAATGGAAGAAATCGGGAGGTCTAGGCTAAGGTATCGTATGTACCTGGGAATAAGTCCCACTGAATTCAATAGTTTTTTTTCTGCATAAGCTCACACAAGATTGCAGTGCATATGTTTCTGATATTTACGTTTTATTAACCAAAGAAGAGAATGCTTCTGGATATTTGACCACATGTGATCCCACCTGCCAGCATACTCAGAAGGCTGAGTTCAGTGACATTTTTCCTGTGGTAAGCTTGCAGTCCTAATATAACCTCTTGCCAGAAGTAAAGCCCATTTATTTCAAAGAGACCTGTTGATGAGTTCATAGGTATAGAACTGCAGGCTGAGTTATCTCTTGAGAAAAGGCTCTGTTAAATTGAATAGGGCTGACTTTATGTACACTAACACAGGTTTGCTTTATCTCAATATCTGAGAAAGACATCTAAGCAGAGGAAAGAATTGTTTTGGATACCTGCAGTCACAAAATATTCTAGAGAAGCTTTCTCTTTCTGTTGACACACTTTTGCATTCTTTGGCTCCTTTCTCTCACTCCGAAGTGCCTCGTTCTCTCTCCTCCTTGATTAATCTCTATCTAATCTCCCTTGACAGTGGAACCAGTTACCTAAGGAGTTGGTGAGTGCTCCAACACTGGAGGCATTCAAGAAAAACTTAGATAATCACCTGCCAGATATGTTTTGGTTGTATTCCTGCTTTGAGCAAGGGGTTGGACTTGACTTCCAACTTCACTTTTTTAGAATTCTATCTCCTATCTCCCTCCCTCTGTGGGAGTACTCTTTCTCCTTTTGCCTCTTTTGCCTTCACTCTTGGACTCTGTTCTTCCCTTGTAGCTTCCCTCTTCTCTCTCTCTCTCTGGCACCTTACTTTCTCTCTACAGTGTTGCCTTGACTTACGACCATAATCCGTTCCAGAAGATGGAACATAAGTCAAAATGGTCATAAGTCAAAGCATGCATTCCCATAGGATTCCCCCCCCCCCAAATACCTGAAAAAAATATAATAAAAATAAACAGGGCAAGTCCCGCGCTGGGACTGGAGAAAACACACACCAAAAAACAACCAACACACCACAGGAACATACCTCCCAGCCCTGCAAAACCGACCCAGAACAGTTTTTAAAAACAGGCACGTTACCTTACCAGGCAGTCCCAAGCTGCCGCCGCTGCTGCTGCTGGTGCCCGCCACTGCCTCTAGCTCTGGAACTGGCACCAACAGTGGCCCAGTGCCAGGAGGATGAGCCTGGGCGGGGTGCTCCCTCTGGCTGCTTGCCTCCCGACGGGCTCCAACAAGGTTGGGGCCAGTGCTCCTCACTGCCCTCCATGGGCCGATGCCGCCGTTGGTGCCCGACGCTGCCTCTAGCTCTGCAACCAGCACCAGCTGCTGCTTGCTGGGGTGGCCACGGCGGTCCGCGGTGCTCCTTGCCACCCTCTGCGGGCTGATGGTGGAGAATTCAAATGGCAGAGGGCGGTCTGCAACCAGCACCAGCTGCTGCTTGCTGGAGTGGCCACGGTGGTCCTCAGTGTTCCTTGCCACCCTCTGCAGGCTGATGGTGGGAAATTCAAATGGCAGAGGGCGGCGAGGGGTGTTGAAGACTGATTGGGCCGAAAGAGCACCCCGGCCAGACTCAGCTTCCTGGTGCTGAGCTGCTGCCACCGCATCCCTTTTCCTAACCATTGGGGTGAAAGAGCTACAAAGAAGTAGCCACCACCAGTGATTTGAATTTCCCGCCTTTTCCCCCTGCCTTTTTGTGTTCGTAACTGGAAGCTCCGGCCGCAAGTCGAAGCAAAATTTTGTGACCAAGCTGGTCATAACTCAAGATGGTCATAAGTCGGGATGTTCGTAAGTCAAGACGCCACTGTATCTTATTCACTTTCTCTGTGTCACCTCCCTCTCTCCCCTTTGTGGTTCCAGTCTCTTCTCTTTCTCTTTCTCTCTCTGCACTCCTCAATGGTAGCTCTCTCTGTGGCTCATTCTTCTTTGTCTCTTTTCTGTTGTTCTTCTCTCTCTATGTCTCTATGCCCCATCCCTCAAACCACATAGAAATGGTTCAGGAGGATATTATTTGATATGGGAGATAGAAAGTGCACAGATTCAGATTATTATGTCACCAATGAAAGTTTTGCTATTTACTCTTTAATCCAAGATATTAATCAAAAAGCCATGTACCTGTCTCTGAAAGTAATCTCATTTGACTTTCTTTTCTCTAGGTACTTGATAAATCATGGGGCAAATGTAGCTGCTGTGAACAGTGAAGGAGAAGTCCCATCTGATCTTGCAGAAGAAGCAGCAATGAAGGATCTTCTCATGGAACAAGTAAAGAAACAAGGTAAGGTGACTATATGCTTGCTTATCTGTTTGGTCTTGTTTGAGTTGTATCAGAAAAACATATAACTTTCTTATAAAAGCAGATTGCAATATGACTTCTGTAGTGAAAAATTAAGATGTATATTGTGATATACAGTTCATTTATATCTAAAATACGATATTTCTTTCTACATTTGTAAAGTTACACAGAAAACATGAAAATGACCACAAACAGTTGTAACTTTTTACATTAATGGGGATGACTCAAGATGACCCTTGAATTCTGTTCCATCTCCCCTATTCTTTCATCTTACTGCATTCTTGTGAGGTTGAATTAAGACTTCTTTTTCTTTTGCCTTGGGTTTTATATGCTAAATTGAAAACATGATTGGAGTTACATTTTTTTCTGTTTGCATTTGCTAGCAGACCTCCCTGGCAAATTTTTTTGATTTTGTATTCCCCCCCCCTTAAACTACAACATGAACATAAAATACATAAACCAAAATACAAATTGACTGTGTTCCCCACCACCATAGTCGGGACCTCTTGCAGTAATCAGCTTCTTCCTCTGTCTTTATTCTTCTTCTTCCTTTATTGTCCTCTTCTCCAGAACTGCATTGATTCTTGATTTGGAGCTTTCCCTTTTCTTCTTGTTAGCACATATTCAAGAAGTCTGCCCCATATATCATAGAAATTATTCTTTTTCATCTCTCCTTTCTTAACCTTTAAGTTACAAGTTAACTTATTATTTATAGCAATGTTCCCTATTTCATTATACCATTCTTCCATTCAAAATTCAGACTTTTATTTCCACTTCCTAGCTATTATTAATCTGGCTGCTGTTAATAAATTGGTAATCAGTTCTCTAGTCATCTTATCATATTCCATATTCTCAAATATTGATAACAGCTATCTCAGGATTAAATTCTATATTTTTTAATATAAGTCATTTAGTTCTTTAAAGATTAGTTTCCAAAATCTTTGTACTTCTTCACATTCCCACCACATATGAAAGTATGTACCAATTTCCTTCTCAAATTTCCAACAGACATTCAGATAACTAGCATTAATTTTATTCAATTTTGTCAGTGTCAAATACCATCTTAAACCCAATTTGATTTTTTTTTCTTTTTCTCACCAACATAAATCATAAAACCCTCATTTTCCACATCTTCCTCCATTCTTCATCATTTATTCTTTTTCCTAAGTCTTGTTCCCACACTAAGTTCAATCCTTCTTTTTCAGTCTCTTCTTCTACTAGATCAAGCAGGAATCTATAAATTTTACTCACTGCACTCTTTACTCAATCGGCCATCTGAATATCTTCATATGATAATAGAAATTGTTCCTACTTCGTATATTCTGTACCTTTATTATACTTCTTTACCCATTCATTAGTCCATCTTTCTAATTGCATATAATTCAACCATGATATATTCTTATTTTGAATGATTTGTTTCATTTTGATCTTTTCATCTCATTTTATACAACCAGTCTTTTAATCTAATCACTTTTTTCTTTAAATAATTCTGCATAAACTTTCAGATTGGCAAGAAAATCTCTATTTCAGGTACTAATCCTAATGGAAAGTTAAATGGACATAAATTATTTCTATAGTGCCAGGGTTTTATGTGCTAAATGTGAAAACATGATTGTAGTTACATTTTTTTCTGTTTGCATTTGCCAGCAGACCTCACTGGCAATTTTTTTTAACAGTGAATATGCATGTGTAACTCCCCATTTTGGTTATTTTCTTCAGTGTAGTTGTGACTATACCAACTTATTCTTTCTGTGTAATTCTTCCTGAATAGGTATTGAAGATAAGTTTACAATAGGTACTTGCCAAAGGACCAATATGCTATTTCAGTTTTCCTTTGCAGCAGCAAGATGAATTTTGTGCAAATAGCTAATCTGTAGAATTGTGTCTGGGGAATTTTCTTTATTTGTGTTTGACAGTTGTGTAATTGGCCATTTACAGTGTGAGAAATGCGGAAGGTTGCATAGAAGCAACACAGGGAACTGCTGTGGAAAATGCAGTCTTTTTTAAATTTGTGTGTTCCCTTGGAAACGAAACCAATTTAGTACTACTTCCTTGCTAGGCTTAATTGGTAGCATTGATGTAAGAGTCTTTATACCAGAGTCAGTTCTTTATGGGGTTAATTTCAGCATGCTTGTTCTTCTCATTTGCAGTGAATAGACTTCTACAATACAGTTGTGGCCTCTGTAATAGTTTTGCAAACCTTATGTGAAATCATAAATGACTTGACAAAAAATGAATATGCTAAAACATTGAAATTGTGATTTTGTTTAGCTTACTTATAAACATGTATTAGATTCCATGCAGCGTCTTCAGGCAATAGAGAAATCAAAGTACTGTAATAATGTGACTAAGATAACCTAGTAAATTGATAAAAAGTACAAATTCTTTTCTCACTTTAAACCAATCTTAGTCTAATCAGATTTTACTTTAGGTGATGTAGATTTCAGTATCTTTCTCCAGTTTGGTAGAAAAAAAAAACAAGTGGAGGTGTGTCACTAACAAAATCACCCACAGTGTATAGAAATCCTTTTTGGAATTTACATGCTTTATAAGTAGTCACCAAATCTCTGTTTGAGCCCTTTAGCATTTATCTGGGAAGGTAATTGTCCTGACAGCAATAATATCAGTCTGTAGAATTTCAGAGTTGGGGTCCACTTTTTTTCGTGAAAAGAACAGAAAGAAACTTGATTTTCTCTATTTCCTTTCAGCCATATAGTGTGGACAAAGGGATTATAAAGGTCACCTTACTGAGATGGATAGAAGCCAGTATTGCCTTAGCATATAGAAGTTCTAGGATGGCTTTTCTTAGGTAGATCATAACACATTCTACCAGACATGCACCTACATCAGCAATCTTTGGCATAAGGGCACTTGTAGGTGACATTTCTAAGGCTGCTATCTGAAGCCATTTGTACCTGGAAGATTTCTTCTTCCTTTGTAACACGTTAGAGTTTGAACTGCTTTGTGTCTTAAGGCGGTGGTCCTCAACCTTGGGCCTCCAGATGTTCTTGGACTTCAACTCCCAGAAATACTGGCCAGCAGAGATGGAGGTGAAGGCTTCTGGGAGTTGTAGTCTAAGAACATCTGGAGGCCCAAGATTGGGGACCACTATAAGAGAACTCATTCAGGTGTTGCAGCAAGTGCTTCTTCAGTGGCATGTGTTAAAATTGCTCTTTTTATGAGCCATAAAGAAAAACTGAACATAGCATGAAATGTGATGGAGCTTTGGTACTTTCCAAAGCGAGGATGTCCTCTATCACTGTAGGAGAATGATATATTATCACTTACTGTAAGATGGCTTTTGGGAGCTTCAGGGAACACAGAGTGGCACCCAGTGTGTAGTTCCTTCATTTTGTGGTGAGATGGTGTCAAGTGTTCATGGTTATGGAGTTCATTATTCCATTACTTTTATTTGTTACACTGTTTGTTTTTGTTTTTCGTATGAGATACATGCATGAGGCTGTGACTGGAGATAAGAGGGGTTCCATGTTATTGCATGCCACTTCAGGGAGCCTGAGGGCCATTTGATCAGTGCATAGACTCCTGCCTACTGTAATAATTGGGAGGAACAGTTAGACTTATAGAGAATGAACATCTTGCAGAATCTGTTTATACAAAGTGATGTTCTGTATCATCAGTCTTTTAGAATTTTTTAGAATATTAGTAGGCAGTTACATAGTGATGATATAAACTACCACATTTTCCGTGTATAAAGTGACACTTTTCCCTAAAAATAATTAAAGGAAAAATTGAGAGTCGTTTTATAATCTGAAGTAAGGAGGGGGGTAGGGATCAAAGAGCATTGATCCCTGCTTCCCCCCTCCACATTTTGCAAAGAAAATGGAGGGGAGAAGCGATTTCTGCTTTCCCCCTACATTTTTGTTGCAAAAAGCAGCTTTCCCCCTCCACGTTTTGCAAAGAAAATGTAGGGGGAAAGCAGAAATCCCTTTTCTCCTCCATTTTCTTTGCAAAACATGGAGGAAAGCTGCTTTTTGCAACAAAAATGTAGGGGGAAAGCAGGAATCGCTTTCCCCCTCCACTTTCTTTCAAAGAAAGAAATTTTAGGTTAGAAAAGGGGTGTCTTATACATGGGGCATCTTATACACAGAAAAATACGGTAAATATGCTGGACTTTCAAAATGTTTAGGACAAAGAAGGCATGGTTTCTTGTCCTTCCTTCCAGGCTTCCTTCGGGATCAAGGCCCTCAACTGTCCTGCCTGTGAAGAACGGGTATCATGGACAGATCTGTCTGGGAGCAGGCATTCTGATAGGTACCTAGGTCCTAAACTGTTTAGGGCTTTGAATGTTATTATCATAACCCTGAAGTCGATGCAGAAACAAACCGGTAACCAATGAAGGGCAGCTAGAGTGGGGGAGATGTGCTGGAATTTTTTCACTCCAGTTATTAATTTAGCCTTGTTGAAGTCTCTGTATCACCTTCAAGAGTAGCCCCATGTAAAGAGCACTGCAGTAGTCTATTCTTGAGATTACAAGGGCATGAATCAGCATCGTGAGTTCCCCCGTGTCTAGATAGGGATGCAGCTGCGCAATTCTCCGAAGATGGAAATGGGCTGCCTGGACCACAGATGCCACCTGAGTTTCCATGGTAAGATCCGGGTCCAGACAGACGCCCAAGCTGCGCACCTCATTCTTTGTGGGAAGAGTCATTCCCTCAAAGGAGAGAGAGTTTCCCAACCCACTGACACTGGGGCTGCCCACACGCAAGATTTCCGTCTTGTCAGATTAAACCTCAGTCCATTTTCCCCTATCCACTCCAGAACCGTCCCCAAGCAGCGTTCAAGGGTCAGAACAGCATCCACTGCAATAGGAAAAAAAGGAGAGGTAGAGCTGGGTGTCATCAGTGTACTGATGATACCGGGCCCCACAACTCCAGATGACGTCACCCAGCGGCCTCATTAAATTGCGGAACCCCGCAATTGGGGATCCATGGGGTGGAAGTCATCTCGCCAAGCTGCACTTTCTGGGGACGGTCCTCCAAGAAGGAACAGAGCCACGCCAAAGCGAGGTCACTGATTCCCAACTTGGAGAACCACCCCAGGAGGATACTGTGGTCGAAGGTATCAAAGGCTGCTGAAAA